AGACATATAAATGTGGTAATTGAGAGTTCGTCTAACAGAGAGATGTATTGTTCCAGTTCGATATAGTTGAAAAAGTTCCGATATGCCAATTCATTCAACCAGAAAAGTAGTTTAATTCGTTCATTATCTAAATCCAACAGGGATAGCTGGGTGGATATGATGTTTCTTTCTACAGAATACCCATTTTAAACCATGAATTGCAGCATTCCGAAAATCCTTTTGCCGATACATGAATAACAGTACCATATTGAATGAATTGATAAGAGGTGTATATATGCAACACATCGCAATGATCTGTGATTGTGCACTAGAATCCACCATACAAATACATTGCACTATTGATGGTACCACCACGAGACCTGCAAAAAGAAGAAAGTACAAGTTGGAAAGTATGACTGAAAAAGGCAGTAAGCATAATAAATCTCACTATAAAAAGAATTCGGACAGACCTCTTCAACATTTTACAAATATCCGTTACGAACCGATTCGAAACAAGTTGTGCTTGGAAATATTTGTGAAAATTTTAGGAATCCATATATAGCTATTTTCAAATGATACTTCGTAACAAATTACATTAATTTTATCCGGTGTAGTAGCGAAGATTAATGCCACTTAAATTTTGATAAATTGTTAATAAATTTATTATCCATTAAATGTCATATGAAGAAATGATTGCATTGCTATAAATGAACACAACCGTTTATAGTTGATAACAAATAATATCATGAAGATTTTGACTGTTGTTAATATGCCTCAACATATTCAGTTAAATTGATTTATCTTCGCGTAACATAATCTGTCATTTATTGATTTGTTAACTGGTTAGCATCGAATGTACAGTTATGTCCAAAAAGGATATTAAAATTGATGTTCAGAAACTTTTGAGCAATCGAAATCAGTTCGAATGTTTACGAGGCACTGCTTTATCAAGAACGACAGCGATCACTTAAAAAAAAAAAAAAAGAAAGAACAGAGGAAATCATTTACTTCCGGGTTCAGGAATATCAGGAAAGCCGGAAGTACAGAGTAAATCGTCATTGTAAATAATCCAATCGTTATCATGATCAAAAAAAAATGGAATTAAAATATGGAATCGATGACAAATCACGATAGAGATTAACGATTGATTTATTCACAAAAGAAACGAAGGAAGAGATAGAGAAAGAGAAAGAATAAGAAAACAGAAGGAGAAGTAATGGCAGCTGGTTTTTGATGTTAATAAGTTTTTTAAAATCTATACCTTTTCAACATAACAATAATCCTCAGGACAATACTGAATAATGAAGCAATGGAGCTCAATAGTTTCCGAGTCTTATCACCTGGGGCAACATTTGTCTTGCATGTCACCATCGGAAGCCCTGCAACGCTGAACTACTGCTCTGTCTGTTACTTATTTTAATTCTACCATACTTTCCTCACATATTTCAATGAATATCACCACAAACAAAACAGCAATTAATGATTTGAGGAATTCTACGGATAATGAATCTTCAGCGGTAACGGTTGTGAGCTATTATTTGCATATATACGGTTACTTGATTATTGGCCCAATGTTGATATTGGTTAACACTCCGATCTTTCTACTTGTGATGATACGTAAAGCACTCAGGTCAACTGATTCATTTCATAGACTTCTGACATTACTGTTTCAAAGTTTTGCTAACAATGCACAGATAACACATGGATAACTTCCGGTATTTCAGGAAGGCCTACTTGGTTCTCGCAGTTGTATTTCTGAACGATGGATTGACCGGAATAAGTGCGATATTAATGGGAATACACCGATGGATTGTTTCTGCCATTGAAGAACAATATATTGCTCATCACAACTGCGTACTCAATGTCCGTTTATTTTCCGGAAAACATTCCAAAAACTACTTTTTTTATATTTTTCAGTACAGGAAGAATTTTGTCTTAAATAAAGTTCTAAAAAATATAAAAAGTCACTCGAATTCATTGTTATATTTTAGGATTGCGACTGCAAGCCAATAAACAAATTTATTACCAGTGAATTCAACGAGTAGTAAAATTTTAGGTGCCAGTCTTTCTTCTGACAATGTTTTTTCTGAATGGATGGAGCTTGCTAATGAATAGTTTGGATAGGCTTTGTGTTGTAGCATTCCCGTTGTATTATTATACTCACAGTAAACGAATAGCTTACTCATTAATTGTCACACTATACGCAATTACTATAATTGCGGTGACTTTTACCGTCATGGCCAGTTTAATTGAACCGATTCGATATGTATCTCATTTCTGTTTGTAAGTTACAATGACCATATTATTGCATCATACAAATGATTCTACTTTCAACTCTTCGATTTTGTATTTTCGTATTTCTGCTAATCTGGGGCATAATGAATATTTTAGATTGCGGGACGTTTATAACTCTTATTTTTATCTCACTTTAACGTTATTGAGCTCCACTGCTTCATTATCTAGTATTATTCTGATGGTTATTGTTGTTGCCATGTTGAGAAGGTACAAATTTAAAAATGAATTATGGTTGGAAGTTGTAGTTGTAGTTAATAATTATAGTTCCCATATGCAATCGTGTATCTTTATTAATATCATTAATTGGCTGGTGGGTTATAACTTATGATTGTATCATGATGCTCTCCTCTTTTGCTGAAATATTACCTCGGTTCAGGGGATTCTTAAATTCAGTGGAGTCCGATTTGATAATACTTAGTGAGCTATGTTGGGAAGAAATCATGGTATGTCGACGAAGTCAAGTTTAAATAGATGTTGAATTCTAATATCTTTTCCAGGAGGTTTGGTGCTCAGTTCCTTTCAAATACTTCACATAACCGCGGCTTGACACGTTTTCTCGAGAATCAAAGGCGATACACTCACACAACATTGATCTCGTGTTGTTTTACATTTTGTGTGTTTTTGTTAAGTGGCTAAATAATGCATTACTGTAAGCAGTTGTGAAAATAAAATTGAGTTATCATGAATCCAACGCTAATGAATTAAAGTTGTTTTAAATTTTAAAACTTTAGATAAGGAATTCAATAGCGCACAACCTTCTTCTATAACAACGATTTTTATACCTTCTTTAATTTCAAAAGAATCAGTAAAATGTTGAAGAGGTCTGTCCGAATTCTTTTTATAGTGAGATTTATTATGCTTACTGCCTTTTTCAGTCATACTTTCCAACTTGTACTTTCTTCTTTTTGCAGGTCTCGTGGTGGTACCATCAATAGTGCAATGTATTTGTATGGTGGATTCTAGTGCACAATCACAGATCATTGCGATGTGTTGCATATATACACCTCTTATCAATTCATTCAATATGGTACTGTTATTCATGTATCGGCAAAAGGATTTTCGGAATGCTGCAATTCATGGTTTAAAATGGGTATTCTGTAGAAAGAAACATCATATCCACCCAGCTATCCCTGTTGGATTTAGATAATGAACGAATTAAACTACTTTTCTGGTTGAATGAATTGGCATATCGGAACTTTTTTCAACTATATCGAACTGGAACAATACATCTCTCTGTTAGACGAACTCTCAATTACCACATTTTATATGTCTATCTATTCATTTCGTTATT